AACCTATCTGAAGCCCTCTTTTTTACAATGTGGCTAAAAGGGGAGTGATACTTTCAGTAGCATTTGTGTGTCAATTTTCAATACTTTCCCAGGACTTTAAAAAAAAATTTAACCAGCTAAAGAACACACTCCTCCACTAAGTTTTAGAGGCCTAGTACTAAGAACCTCAGACTATCTTTATAGCTCTATTTTCCACTATTTCCCTATTCTCCAATCACACTGGGCTAATTATCCTTCCTAGTACTGGGCCTCTAAATTTACTACAATTTACTCTGCTTTTTTCTAACTCTTTCCCTTATTGAAGCTGTTCTGTCTTTCCTAGCTGTGAATGATCAGATCTTACCCATTCACAAATCCTACCTTTTCTCTCCAGAGTTCTGTTTTAGTAGAGAAGAGAAAACATAAATCCTGGAACACAATGGCATTGGTTTGAATCCTGGCTCTGCTACTAACTTTCTTATTCTTGCTAAGTATGTTTCCCAATCTAAAATGGGGATAATATCTTATGAGACCACAGTGAGTATTTAGTGTTAAACACGAGTTAAAGAATTCCAAAAACTATAAAGCAATATGTAAAGGATAGCTACAATAGTAAATTACAGCATAACATTTTCATTTGTATGTTTCTTCCAGTATACAATAAAATATACTGACTTTTGTTATTCTTCTTGTATGTTTCATCCACCCAAGAAAACACTGAGCTCCTTAAGAAGGGATCATGTGCTAATCATTTTGTATTGTCCAAAGCACATAGCATGAAGCCTTGTATATGGAAATTACTGATAAGTGTTTATCAAATAAGTAAATAATGATGTGAGAACTGTGAACACTTGAGGAGTTTTGTTGTTATTTTTGATTTTCTGTTTTGTTTTTGTTTTTTGTTTGCCCAGCATCTGAAATCTCTTCCTCTGTGTGAGTCTTAATGGGAGACAGGTCCCACCTTCCACAAGAGAAGGCAAGGGTACTTAAAGTTTTCATCCCCCTCCACCCCCTTGCAGCTAAGGCAAAGACAACAGATTTAGGCTTGGTAATCTGGATGCTTCCATTCAGGACTTTAAATCTTGAACAAATGATGTAAAGACACAGGGGACAGAGGAAATTTCATTTAGGGTGCAGCATGCATTTGTGGTAGTTCTAGTTGTGGTATCCTTAAGTAGACCATTCTTGTGGTGTGACTTTTGGTCCCTGCTTCAATTTTCTGAGCTTGATTATTTGGACTTCCCAGCAAATCTACAGATTACTTAATAACCTTCTAATATATTTATTTCCTCCTTAAATTGGCAGAGTTGATTTCTGTTGCTTTCTGGCACACAGGGACAACTCCTTCGGGTTCCTTCCCATTGTGGGGCTTCTCTGTCCTCTCAATAAATCCTGCTTTCTTACTTAAAAAAAAAAGAATATTAGAACACCTCTGGGATACGGATTTGGGGATAAAGAGAAAGCAGAGGGCCAGGCGTGGTGGCTCAGCCTGTAATCCCAGCACTCTAGGAAGCCGAGGCAAGAGGAATGCCTGAGCCTAGGGGTTCGAGATCAGCCTGGGCAACTTGGTGAGACCTCATCCCTACAATAAATCAAAAAATAAGACGGGCCACGTAGCGTGCACCTGTAGTTTTAACTACTTGGAAGTCTGAGGCGGAAGGATCGCCTAAGCCCAGCAGGTTGAGGTTGCGGTGGCCATGAGCATGCCACTGCACTCCAGCCTGGGTGACAGAATGAGACTCCAAATCGAAAAGAAAAAAAAAAAAGAGAGAAAGCAGGGGTCGTTTCCTTATTGAAGCTCTTCTATCTTTCCTATCTGTGCACGGTCATATCTTACCCACTCACAAATCCCATCTATTTCTCCCAGAGTCCCCTCATTCCTTCAGAGGAAATTATTGTTACAGAAATAAAGACTGTTGTTATACTACTTCTGCCATTTTAATATATATATATTAAAATATATATATATTTTAGTTGGAGTCTCACTCTGTTGCCCAGGATAGAGGGCAGTGGCACACTCCCAGCCACCACAGACTCAACTTGCTGGGCTCAGGTGATCTTCCACCTCAGCCTTCCAAGTAGCTGGAACTGCAGGCATGCGCCACCATGCCTGGCTGATTTTTGAATTTATTGTAGAGATGAGGTCTTGCCAAGTTGCCCAGGCTGGTTTCGAACCCATGGGCCCAGGCAATCGTCTTACCTCAGCCTCCCAAAGTGTTGGGATTATAGGCATGAGCCATTGTGCCCAGTCAAAAATATGCTTTTAAAATAAGTTAGGTAGAGTACAGTGGGTAAACAGAAATGGTAGATAATAAAATTTGAAAATTAGGTTTGGGCTACATTGTGCAAGGTCTCTAATATCATTTTGAGGTTTCTTAATTTAACTCAAAAAGCATGGAAAGTTTTAAAAACAGGACAATGATATGATCTGATCTATGTTTTTTATTGCCGTGTAGAAGATGAATTAGAACATGGAGAAATTAGAAATAGGGAGAACACAAAGGAGGAAGGTATTGCCATGGTCCAGACAAAATATGGAGAAAATTTCTCAATTTTGAAAGAGCAAGACACACAAACTGGGTTTTCCTGGAAGCAGATGCTGAAACAGAGTCTGAGGTGCAAAACGTTTACTGGGGGAGGAAGCAGGATTGTGCTGAAGAAAAAGTCAAGCTGCAACGTAGATTTGACAAAAACCCAGCCCATCTGGCAGAGAGCTCTGGCGTGAATAGTGCTCATCAGATTTGGCCAAAGTGGCTGAACTTTTATGCCTCTGCGTTGTTCAGCAAGTGAGTAAGGGCAGCCTCAGGATGAGCCTGACTTGTGTGAGACTGCTGTCTACAGCTGAGTAGACACTGGAAGAACTGAAGCGGCTGGAGGTGACCTGCTGGCCACATGCCCTGTAGCTCAACAGCATGTCTTTCCTTGGAGGTAGAACTGGGTGGCACACCTCCATGTCTACCACAAAGGAAGAGATGAGTTGGGATATCTTGAACAAAAGCAGTGGAGTAGAGTGGACTCTACAGATATAATAGTTTGTATGTGGGGATAAATAAAAGGGAGTAAATAAAAGTTAACACTGAGGTCAGCTGGGCACAGTGGCTCACGTCTGTGAGCACTTTGGGAGGCTGAGGCAAGAGACTGCTTGAGCCCAGGAATTCGAGACCAGCCTAGACAACATAGTGAGAACTTGTTTCTACAAAATGTTTTTTAAAAATTAGCTGGGTGAGGTGGCACATGCCTATAGTCCCAGATACTTGGGAGGCTGAGGCGGGTGGATCGCTTGAGCCCAGGAAGTCCAAGCTGCAATGAGCCATGATCGTGTCGCTGCACTCCAGCCTGGGTGACAGAGACCCTGACTCAAAATAAACCAAAACAAAAAGACACTGAGATCTCTCAGTAATTATAATGATGGCAATTCTGTTATCTAGTAGTGGACAGTGAACAACAGAAGAGAGAGAACAGGTTTGAGGAGAAAGATAACACATTAAATTTTGAACATCTTGTCTCTGAAATGTCTGCAAAGTATTAAGGCAGAAATGGTTTTCAAGAATCAATGCAAATGAGGGGTCTGGAAATCAGAAGCCATTGCTGAATTTACTGAAAATACAGGTGTTATCTTATACATATTATTTAATAATACTCCTCATGTCTCTATGAGGTAGGTATTGTTTTTCTAATGCCCTTTAAAAATATTATATTATACCTCTTGTAGTGAAGAAACTGAGGCTTGAAAAAGTTAAATTCCTGGTTCAAGGAAGTAAAACTTAAGTCTGATGACAAAACACATGCTCTTAAAGATAAAATCATATTGCTTCTCCATGGAAATAACCACAGAAATAATCTATGAAAGTCGCCCAAAGCCAGACTCGGTGGCTCAGTCTGTAATCCCGCGCCTTGGGAAGCTGAGGTGAGTGGATTGCCTGAGCCCGCGGGTTTGAGACCCGCCTGGGTAACTTGGCAAGACCTCATCTCTACAATAAATCAAAAAATCAGCGGGCGTGGTACTGCATGCCTGTAATTCCGGCTACTCAGAAGGCTGAGGCAGAAGGATCGCTGGGGCCCAGCAGGTCGAGGCTGTGGTGGCTGGGAGTGGCCACTGCACTCCAGTCTGGGCGACAGAGTGAGACTCCAACTCAAAAAAAAAAAAAAAAAAAAAGTCACCCAGAAAGTTTATAGTTTAGAGGAAAAAAAGCAGTCAAAAAATGAAATTCTAAGGAAGCCAACATTTCCAGGATGAATTGAGTAAGATGACATAGTCAAAGGGATGGAAAAAGAGTGGCCAGAACAGCTTTTTTTTTTTTTGAGTCAGAGTCTCACTCTGTCATCCAGGCTGGAGTGCAGCAGCACCGCTCACGGCCACTGGAGACTCTACCTGCTGGGTTCAAGAGATCCTTCTGCCTCAGACTTCCAAGTTGCTAGAACTATAGGCATGAGCCACCACACCTGGCTAATTTTTTGATTTATTGTAGAGACAGGGTTTTGCCATGTTGCCATGAGGCTGGTCTCGACCCCCTGGGCTCAGGCAATCCTCTCGCCTCCGCCTCCTTCTCAAAGTGCTGGGATTACAGGCATGAGCCACTGCACCTGGCCCAGAACAGCTTTTAAAAATTAGAAGTATGGCATTTCAGAAGTCACGGTAAAAAGAGAGTCCCAGTCCACAATGTTGATGATATCACAGAGGATGAGGGCTTGACAGAAGTTACCAGTGATCTTAGAGTAGTTTAGGGAGAAGTCAGACTGCGGTGGGTCAAAGAGTGAGTGAAAGATGAGGAGGTGGAGGCAAAGGGCAGAGAAGTTCTACAAAGTAGAGGAAGTAATAATGTCTTATACATACTTAGGAGATTTATTAAAATTATTTTTGGATTAATTAATAACTTATTTAATAACTCCCTTTCATATTACTTGGATTTTACATTTCCACCATTTCTCTGGTTACTTCTTTATACTTCATTATACCAGTGTTCCGTTCCAAGTCTGACACACCCCGAAGCATTGAATGCTGTTTATTTTGGTTGTAGACAACTTGTTTTATTTAGTTATGGGGATGCCTCAGGTAATTCTCTTTTGAGGATGGGCCACAGACCCTCCTACCCCAACTCCATGATGTTTTCCACAATGGCAGATAAACATTCCCTTCTTAGACCAATTCAGCAAAGCATGCAAGCTCTTGGCAAGCTCTTGGCAAACCAGGTACTTGCCTACCTAGCCTCTCCATCCCCCTCCCTCCATCCCTTGGTGGGCAGATGTAGGTGATGAAAGGAGCTGTCACTCCAAACCTTCTTGGATACGGTGTCTCAGTTGGGGAGTTTGTTTGGCTTCGCAGTGAGCTGAAACCTTCCCTTGTCAGCCCCTATCAATCCAGCCCAATATCAGAGGGGACTGGAAAGTAATTAACATCGCCGTCCGCCTGTGCACAGGAAGATGCCTACAGCCACACCAGCAATGATGAAACTGCCTATCAGGATACCCAGGACCAGCGAAGTGTAGGAGCGGCCTGTTTGGTGTCCTGCAGAACATGCAGAGAGTTAGCCTAAATAACATATTCTCAAGGAGTCCATGATTTGAATCAAACCTCAAAGGATTTCTGCCGCAAAGGAAAGTGACCAATTTACCAAGTGCCTTAAGTCAAGCCCCCAGCCATGGGCTTTTTGTTGCTCAAGGTATGCATCCTTCAAGTCCATTCATTTATCTGGAACCCCCTCCCCAACACACAGGCCTGGCCTCTGTCCCATGATACCTTTTGAGTTTTTCATGGTGAAGTGTTTCTGCACATACTGCACACAGGTGTCCTCCAGGAATTCCCTCAGTTCATACCGAGTACGATTGTAGGTGTTAAGCTGCTGCAGGGTGTAGTTGACCACTTTGGAGGGTGCCTGGGTGTCTGCCACCCACAAGGCTGTCCCTGGCTGGAAATTCACAAAGGAGCTTCCATTCACAGCCACTTGGAAGAAGACATGGGCTTTGGAGCCCTCAGGAGGCAGCTCACAGCCCAGGAAGCAGCGGATGGTCAGAGGAACTGTGAATGGGGAATTCAGGGTCAGGTATTTAGGTAGAAAGGGTGCCAGACATGGAGAGATGTCCTCATGTGGAAGGAGAACATGGTGGGAGCCGTGGGGTGACAGTCAGTGGCTGTGAGGGAAGTCTCCGCCAGAGAATTGTAGGGACAAGGCCTGGGGGCCGTGGGGAGGTGCTTGGTGTTAGACTGTCAGAGGTTACGTAAGGAGGAACCAGAGACTAAGATGGAAAATGAGACTATGAGAGAAAGGTGTCGGGGCTATGAGGTGAGTCAGTGGGCTTTGACAGAAGAAACTGGGGTCTTTGAATGGGAGGAGCTGGGGTTATGAAGGGAGGGAGTGGGGCTTTGGGAAGAAATTGGGGACTTGGAGGGGAGGAGTTGGGAGGGCTGTGTACGGCGCTCTGAGTGAAGCTGTTAGCTTCTGCAAGGGGAGGTGGCTGGAGGGTGGAAGTGCTGGGGGGGGAAGGGAAGGACAAGGGTCTGTGAAGAAAAGGTTTGGAGGACTGTGAGGCGAGTGTGGGAGTCTTCAGTGAATCTTTAGGTGAGTCGGGGCCAGGGTCTCCCGACAGTGTCTGCCCCGAGAGGTTACGCCAACAGGAAGAGAGCCCGAGGGAGGGCTCCCTTAGCTAGGACGCCGGCCTCTCTCCGGCTCCCAATCCGCAATCTTCAAGGGCCCAGGCGCCACTGGGCTCCTGCGGCAGCTCCCCGCCCCGCGGCCAGCCCTCCTCACGAGGTCCCCCTCCCGTTTCCCTGGAACCGGGGCCCTAGCATCAGGCGGGATCCTGGCCCCCGAAGGGCGCGCCTCCCTTCCGCTAGGGCCCGCCCTCCCGGCCCCCCGGCCCCGCCTCCCAGCCCCCCAGCCCCGCCTCCCTCCGGTGTAACCAGCTCACAGGCCAGGCCGCGCTCCAGATGCACAAGCAGCACGAGGTTCTGGAACTGGGACAGGTACAACCTCAGGCTTCTCTCCGTGTGCGCCCAGCTCTTGCGCTCCTGCAGGGGCTGCAGCTGGAGGATCGTAGCGTTGGTGCCCAGACCTTCCAGCACGTGTGTCAGGTGCCCCCCCAGCGACGCGTTGCCCTGGTGCCACACGTGATGGGGGTCGCGGAAGTAGGAGATCTGGAGCATGTGGAGGCTCTGCGGGCCTAGGGCAGAGTCGGAATCAGCCTCAGCGGGCGAGGGAGGCGGCGGTGGGCAGCCAAAGAGAAGAAACTCTTCCCTAGAGACTGGCCGCCCACCTTCTCCAGCCCTCCTGAAGTGCCCTCCCACGGTTCCTCCCATCTGACGCTCGCAGTAACTCTACCAGGAGTGCAGGACAGGGATTATTACCTTCGTTTTACAGATGAGGAAACTGAGGCCTGCAGTGGAAGAGATGCTACGCTCTGCCTCCTTTTTCGCCCTCAGCGCTCCCTGCCCCATTTCTAGTTGGCCAACAAAATCCCATTTCCACCTCCTGTTCTCTGTCTCCCCTGCCACGGCCCTCCTTCAGGCCTCATTGGTTCTATCTGAACTGGGCTGGTAATTTCCTACCTCATTCTCCTGCCCTCATTTCTGTTTCACCCCTTCTAATCTGACCTCCACCTGGCGCAGCGATAAGATCATGTCCTTCTCCTACTTAAAATCCTCCAGTGACATACTGTTCCCTTCACCAATCAAAAATAATAATAGCTAATAAGTGCTTATTATTACCTGGGCAACGTGTTTCTCACACATCATTATCTTATTTGTGCCTTGTCCCCAATGGCTTGATGCGGTAGCTACTATTATTAACCGCAGTCTATGTGGGAAACTGAGGCTAAGATGATATAGCAGAGCCACGGTTTGCATGCAGTCAGTCTAGTCCCGTGCTCTTAGCCACTTTGTTTCATTGCCTCCCCATAGGATATCTGTCCACAGGATCAAGTCCAGAGTCCTTAGCCTGGCATTCAAGACTGCTGGCAACCTGGCCCCAGCTGCCTTTTCTGACTGCTTCCCTGTACTTAGATGTATCAAACTAGCTGGGGCTCTTCATGCTTCCTTTGGCTGACATGTGAACCACATGTCAGGGTTGCTCTGTCTCTCTCTCTCTCTTTTTTTTTTTTTGAGTTGGAGTCTCACTCTGTCATCCAGACAGGAGGGCTCCGGCCACCACAGCCTCGACCTGCTGGGCTCTGGCGATCCTTCCGCCTCAGCCTTCCAAGTAGCCAGAATTACAGGCATGCGCTACCACGCCCGGCTGATTTTTTGATTTATTGTAGAGATGAGGTCTCGCCACCCAGGCGGGTCTCCACCCCGCGGGCTCAGGCAATCCACTCACCTCAGCCTCCCAAAGGCACGGGATTACAGGCTGAGCCACCGAGCCCGGCTTGCTCTATCTCTCTTATTCTACCTGACAAATTTCCGTTCTTGCTTTAAGACCCAGCTCAGTTATTCTCCCTTTGGAGAAGTTTTCCTGATTTGGGACACAGTGGGTCTGTTTCAGTGATACCAGACCACCATGTGTTAGCATGTATCTCACTGGATTCTAAGTGACTTGTCTCCAACAAACACACACAGGCCACACTGGACTCCTCCAGGATATGGTGCCATGTCTAGTTACCTCTGCCTCCTACACCCAGAAAAATTGGCATCCAGAGCATGTGTGAATGAGCCTAGGGTTATAAATCTGTATGTGTGACTGTGTCTTATCCATGTTTGCATTTCAGAAGTTGTGTTCTGAATCTGCAGGTGTAAATAAGTTATCTGTATGGGTAACCCTAGAGAGCTCCTCAACTGTTCTGTGACCCAGTTTTCTCCTCTGTGAAATGGAGTTAATATTGCCTACTCTTCGGAGTTTTATGGGAGTTGAGTGAGTCAATCCATGTATTAACCACAGTGAACGCTCATTGAATACTGGTTATTACTTGCTGTTTCTCTGAGAGAGAGACTGAAGCTATAGGGGTTGTGGGATTATAATCCAGAACAATACTCCCGTTTTCTGCTTATATGGGGCCACGCTAGGCGGCCTGATTTTCTGTAAGTTTTCCGATTATGCCCAGCTTCTCCTTCCCTCCGTTCCACCAGCTGCACCCGTTCTTCCTCCATTTTCTAGAGCCTCCCCTTACCTCTCTCAGTCCCAATCTTATCCCCAAGTCTTCCATCAGTTCTCCCAACGCTTTCCATTCCCTCTATCTCTCTTCTCATCTGAATCTTTTCCCATCTTCCCTTTGCCTCTATCCACCACCCTCTCTTTCTTCCCTCTCCCCGAGGCTGATTCCTTCATCTTCTCTGCTGGTTCCTTTCTCATTTTTACAGTCATCCTGTTTTCCCCAGCCTCCTTCAACTCCCTGTTCCCAGGGGCTTAACTGTACTTCCTCACCTTAGTTTTGAAACAAAAACCAGTCCCAGGACATTGCCTGCCCTACAGAGAGACCCAGCCAGCTGCAGACATAGACCCTGTGGAATAAACTCTCCTTTGGTCTTGCCATGTGCCCAGCGAGACTGAGGTTCTCCAGAACCATCCTGAGGCAGGAGACATGCCCCCGACTCACCATCTGTGGCTTTCTGGCTACAAAGGGCCCAGCTGGGCAGGAGCAGTATCCACAGCAGTGTTGTCGACATCCTGAGGCTGAAGTTCTGGACCTGGGCTCCTGGCTCTGGCTGACTGGGGACTCCGCCGGCTGCAGCCTAGGGAAAAGAGAGGTGAGAACTGTCTGGGAGGGGTGGAGACTGAGGATGGACGGAGGCCAGGGGATGGGAGGAGGAAGAGGGTAGCAGGCTTATGGAGTGTTATTCCTACTCTGTCTCATTTCCTACTAGGGGGCCGTCCTGCCTCCTGCCCTCCCTCTGCCAGCCCCACATTGCCCCTCCTGCCCAGGCCTGCCTTTTTCATTCTCCCTGGGCTGCTTCCGAGGAAAAGGAACAGGGAGCGGAAAAGGGGGAGAAGGGCTTGGTAAAAAGTCCTGCCCACGCTGAGTCAGGGGGTGGGGCATCTGCTTTCAACTTAGAACACACTCCAGGGTGTAGGATTGGAAGGTTACTGATGGGGAAATTGAGGCCCAGAGAAGTGCAGGGACTTGCCCAAAGTTTATACATCATGACAGATCTGGTATTAGAATTTAGTTTTCCAGCTTAATGGCTACATTTTACCAGAATTTTAAGTAAATAGCAATTACACAATCAGGGATCTTGCTCTCAGAAAGAGTCATAAAATGAGTATAAAGCAGCTCACTGCAGTGTTGTTTTTAAGGAGGGAATTATGAACAAGCTATGTAAATCTCAGTAGATGATTGGTTCCATAAAGCAGTATTTTTCACACCGAGGTCATAATCTATTAGAGGACAATGAAAATAATTTAGCAGGTCATGGTTAGCATTTCTAAAAAATAAAATAGAATAAAAAAAATCAGTGCATCACCCTTAGTAAGCATAAACATTATTTCATGAACTATTTGTTCAGCTCTATGGATGTGCTGTTTGGTTTTGTATGTGACTGTTTCTATGATGGGTTTTGGATAGCAGTGTAAGATGTATTTCTTACCTTAGGAAGCAAGTATAAAAGTTTTAAAGTTATTCCTCAAACTATGATAATTCATACTGTGGAATACTATGCAGTAGTTTAAAAAATAGAAACCCCCACCGCCCAATTTCCACTTCATTTTCATGTAGCACTACCTGAAATTATATTCTTTGTTGACATGTTTATTGTTTGAATGTCCCACCAGAATGTAAGCTCTATGAGGGAGGAGGCTGTCCACCTTGTTTGATACCATGCCTAGAATAGTGCACATCGCATAATAAATATCAACTATAATCCCAGAACTTTCTTTCTTTTTTTTCTGAGTTGGAGTCTCACTGTGTAGCCCAGACTGGAGTGCAGTGGCACGCTCCCGGCCACTGCAGCCTCGACCTGCTGGGCTCCGGCGATCCTTCCGCCTCAGCCTTCCGAGTAGCTGGAACTACAGGTGCGCACTACCGCGTCCGACTAATTTTTGATTTGTTGTAGAGATGAGGTCTCGCCAAGTTGCCCAGGCGGGTCTCAAACCCGCAGGCTCAGGCAATCCACTCACCTCGGCCTCCCAAAGCACTGGGATTACTGAAATTACTGAGCTACCGAGCCCGGCTGTAATCCTAGCACTTTGGGCAGGAGGATCGCTTGAGGCTAAGAGTTTGAGACCAGCTTGAGCAACATAGTGAGAACCCATCTCTAATAAAAAATAAAAAAATACATCAGCAAAATGAATGACGGAACGAGATAGTGATGATGTGTATAGATCTCCAAGAATAAGAACATTATGCAGAACATTATGTACAGTTTAGAAACCTTTATGTCAACCACACACACAGCAAACAACCTGTTTCTTTATAGGAGTAAATGAATCTGGAAAGACATACCAGACATAGCAATGGTTTATCTCCACGGAGCGGGCTATAATTAAAATTGTGTGTGTGTGTGTATGCAGAGGGGAGTGGGTAATCTTGTGAAAGGCTTTATTACTCTAGTTTATAAAGGATTTTATCACTCTGTATTGTTTGAAATGTTAATGTCTATATATGATAATATATTTTTGTTTAATTAAAAATTAAAATTTTAATAATAAATTATTGACCATCCACACAGTAGAATTCTCTGTGACTGTGAAGAGGGTGGTAGATCACTATGAACAGATGTGTTGACATGAAAAAATGTCCATGAAGCACTGATAGTAGGAAAAGGAAGTGTGGAACAATATGTATAGTGGAACAATATGTATACTTCTATTTAAAATTTTTAAGTTTAAAAATTCTGCTCTTTCCAAGTAATACATTTCATCCTCATATTTTATATAAAACTAACTTTGTGTGTGTATCTGTGTATTTGTATATACATAGGAAAAGCATCTGGAAGGGCACAGCCAGTTGAGATTACCTTTGGGGAATGGGCTTGGGTAAACAGAGGAGGGTGACTTTTTCCTTTATATCTTTCCCCCTGGAGAGAGAGTTGGTGTCATAGTGAAATCTGGGGCAAACCCTGGACATAAACCAGACACTCATACTCTGAACTGAACATATGCAAAAGCTTCTACTCTTACCTCTCAGTTATTGCAGACTAGCTGAGAAATGACATGAAAGTCTGCTGCTCACCAACATGGTCTGGTTGGAAGAATGAGGTCCTTGTTTTCCTGGACTGGGCCTCAGGAAAAGTGGAATAACTTAGATTATCACCAATTAGATATTGTCTTTCCTTTTATAAACAATTATGAGAAAATATTTCATTTGTGAAGAATTATCACTTTATGCCTGGAGGATTATCTTCCAGACACACCTGTCCCTGCCAGCAGCGGGAGAGCCAACATTTTACCATCGACTGAAGCCACCTGCCTCCCCAGTCACATCTCTCCCTGCCACGGCCCTGAAGTAACACCTGCAGATGAAAATGGAATTTTGCTATTTTTCATTTCCTTTCATTTCTATGTGCTTATCGTACTTGTGCATCTGTCCCTAATATATAATATATGTATATAATGGTATTTTGCATATTTTGGGCTTTCTATACAAGGTGTTAAAGTGTCTGTATTCCTCTGCAACTTGCTTTTTCACTTAACATACAAATAAGAGTCATCCAGGGGGCTATGTGTAGGTCCACTCATTTTCACTGCTTTAAATATTCCATTTACTTATCCATTCTTCTGTTGTTAGACATTGAAGATTTTCCCAGTGTTTTGCTATTATTATTTATTTTTTTATTTTTTTAATATTTTTTTGAAGCCGGGCTCGGTGGCTCAGCCTGTAATCCTGCGCCTTTGGGAGGCTGAGGTGAGTGGATTGCCTGAGCCTGCGGGTTCGAGCCCCACCTGGGCAGGCGAGACCTCATCTCTACAATAAAATCAAAAAATTAGCCGGGCGTGGTAGCGTGCGCCTGTAATTCCGGCTACTCGGAAGGCTGAGGTGGAAGGATCGCCAGAGCCCAGCAGGTCGAGGCTGTAGTGGTCGGGAGTGGCCACTGCAATCCAGCCTGGGTGACAGGGTGAGATCGTGTTTTGCTATTATAAACAGTGCAGATTTGAACACTCACATTCATGGCTCTTGGTGCATATGTGGGAGAGTTTGTAGGTAAAAATCTGAGATTGAAATTGCCAAGTAATGGGGTCTGTGCATCTTCAGTTTTGCTAGATATTGCCAAACTGTTTTTCAAAAGCTTGTGCCAGCTTACATCCCCAGCGGTGTGTAAGAATCTCCTTGCTTCACACTCTTGCCAGTCCTTGGCACTGTCAGATGGGTGGGTGTAATGTGTCATTTCCTTTAGTTTTATTTTGCATCTATCTCATTTTTAATGAGGTTGTGCATATTTTCGCTTTGCCTTTTTTCTCCCTTAAGGGCTTGAAGGGTGCTCTGGGATGGAGGGTACAAATTGTATGATTGAACCAATTTAGAACTGAATGCTGTGAGTCTTCCATCTACACAGGCAGGACCTGGGTTCACACCTTTTGCAGAGGTAATTACATGGAGGCCTTTCTCACCAAACTAAGATCTATCATGCAAAGAGGTGGTGGCAGCAACAGCTATTTTCCAAGTACCCTTCTCACACACCAGAGCCTTGAAATTAAACAGTGAGACAACATCATTATTGTAGGTAACATTTATCATGGGCCAGGAACCGTGCTCAGCTCTTTACATAAATAATCTCATTTTATCCATATGCTGGCCCTATGAGGTGGGCTTCACTAGCATCACCATTTTACTAATAAAGAAACTTAGGCTCAGAGAGGTTAAGTGACTTAACTAAGGTAACACAGGAAAAGCTATCATATGAACCTCTGTCTCTATGATGCCATAGTTTGTGAATTTAATACACACAGTATCTCAAATGGCTCTCCATTGATAACATTTTGAACACACCTCCAACATGCTTGAATGTTTAATATATGATATGTTATATAATATGCCTAAAGTGCATACTATGCGCTAGGTTTATGATCACTTTCACTGGGGCAGAGCAAACTCTTTGTCTTCATGCTATAGATAAGAAAATTAAAGCCCAGAAAAGATAAGTAACTTTCCCAGGGTCACACAGCTTGGAAATGCAGAGCAGGGAATTGAACTCAAAGGGAATGGGGCATGGGGTGAGGAACAGGGAGAAAAAAGTACGGGAAAGCTTGTGAATGGGGGCAGCTTAAGCAGTGTCCCATTCTAAAACCAGGGTTGGAGTTGAGGAAGAGAGAAGAAATGCTGCTGCTGGAGCAAGGCTCACACTGCCACTGGCCTGGGTGGCTGAGGTGCAAAAAAATCATGGAGCAGAGTGGATGCCAGGCTGAAGTTTGACTGAGGCCTAAAGAATGAGGGTCCTGGTGAGCAAAGGGAAGTGAAGGAAGCAAGTGGCAACATTTCCCACTCCAGAAACCACATGCAGGAAGGTGATAAGGGAGACAGGAAGCTGAGCTGGGGCCAGTACTGGTGCGGCCTGGTGGGTAAGGGAAGCCCTGCCAGAGCTGTAGGAACAGGGATGAGCCAGGGACTGGCAGTGTGCCCAGCTAGACTTCAGAGGACGAGCCCCTCCCTCCCCTGTTAAATCCTGAAGACAGGCGGTATAGGCAACCTGGCCCAACTTGGATAACAAAGGAGTGTGGACCCTTCAGAAACACCTCATCCTCAGCATGTGGAATAATAACAATAACATGTACCTAAAGCTTACAGTGTGCTAGGTGCTGTATAAAGTAAGCAGAGTTTTATTCTGTTTTATTCTTACTAGTATCCTATGAAAAGTCTGAAGAAATAGCCATTATTTCCATTTTATAGATGAGGACACAGAGGCACAGAATGGTGAACAGACTTGCTTGAAGATGCCCAGCTAGAAAAAGGCAGAGCTGAGACTCAAAGCTAGGTGAGTTGGACTCCAAAACATGCTTTCTGCATTATTGGATCATTCTGTGAGGATAAGCAGGATGACTCATACGAAGT